CCCCAAAACCCCAAAACCCCAAAACCCCAAAACCCCAAAACCCCAAAACCCCTAAATTGACATGGATGTTGAATAATTAGACTAATCATAATATGGGTGAGGCCTTATTATGATCTAATTATCTTACCATATTTTCAAAGGTTCACAGCTTGTGTAACTGTAGCTGTTCTACCTCTCATGCCTTGTAAATCACTAATTAAAGCAAGTCTTCAACCTGCTTATCTGTAGACTTGGTTTCATCAGGTTTAAGACTTCTCTTGAAGTGGTGGTAGTAAGGGTCAACTTGTTCGTTTTCTTCGTCATTTTCTTCTATATTTTCCTCAACTATTGGCTCATTATCGAAAGAAGATGTTGTTTTCATGAAACTTTTTCTCCTAGAAGTGCCAGGCTCTTTTGCGTCAAGAACATTATCAAAAAATTTCCACCTATTATGTCTAGATTTAAACTTTTCGTATGTTTCTGATCTGATTAAGCTGTTATTTTCAGCACCCTCGTTTTCTTCCTCTCCTTCTAGAATTGGCTCGCTTATTATCTCATAGTACTTCTGGCTTGCTGAGACAGTCTTGTTCTCAGGCTTGTCAATCTTATCGAAGAAGGTCCTAACATATCTCCTCTTGAAAGACAAATTACTGGAAGAGTTCTCACTAGGATTTTCCTCCCTGGACTCTTCGCTGCTGTCGTGAGAGTCTTCATTAATAGGAGTGTCCCCAAGTGTGTTAATATTTCTATTATTTCTCTCCTTGATCTGCTTCATTCTGATTGGTCTTTCAAAATGATCTGCATAGATTTTGTTAAAAATTCTCGAAATTTTAGAAAATGATTTGCTTTTATTATCTTTCTCTAAATCAGCGTCACTAATAGAGTCCTCTTCCTCTGTCTCCGAAACGTCGTATTGCCACTGTGGAGTTATAGCTTTTCTCTTCCTGCCTCCATCAAGAGATCTATGCCTTTTTCCTTTACGACCGAATTCATTAAGATCCTTCATGATGTTGATTCTTCTGTGACGGCTGGAGAACAGGTCGAATTCTTCTTCCAATTTCTCTTCTCACTCAATTAGTTCAGGAAGGGTCTCACCGACTCTGCTGAATTGTCTCATCATCTTCATTTTATTTCTCTTCTCATTGTTGATGAAGGGAAACTCAGCATCAACCAAGTGAGATTTGTAGCGAGGATCCAGAGGCTGGAGCTTACACGATCTGAACTCCCAGGTGATATCACTAGTGAAAGTGGTAGTTGAAGTATTTCCAATACGTCCAGAATATTCTGATGAAAGTGAGCTATTTGAGGGATATCTGTTAATTGGGACCGACATCCTAGTATCACTTCTCCTTCTACTAAGTCTTCTAGATACCTCAGATAGGCACTTGCTATGTGACTCCATTTGCTTTCTAAAATCGATGAGGCTAGGCTCTGTAGCCTTGCCATTTGCTACACCCACAAATGAAGATACATGTGTCCTCCTTTTTGAAGTGGATGAGCTGATTTTATAAGAACGTTTAGGAAGGGGTTTAAAAGGACTTGAAGTAAATTGCTTCCTAAAGAATCTATTATTAGAAAATTGTAAAGAAGCTGTAGCTGATTTACAGCTGCTCGATCTCTGATCTCTGTTCCTATCAAAAATATCTCTGAAGCCTTCAAAAGTTCCTCTGTTTTCTTTCTTGTTGAATTTTTCCTCCTCAGCAAAATCAGAATTTTGCTTACTCAATTTCTCACTAATTAAGTTCTTCCCACTTCTTTCCTTCTTCAAAGGGCCTATGAGCTTATTTGAATTCTCTCTGCTCTTTATATCTGATATTTCACCTGTATCATAGTTAAAAGGGAACCTACTGCTCCAAAATAAATTCAAAATCTCAAACATAATCTTTATAACACTAATGTTTCTATTATAAACGTTATCATACCTTTATTTTGCTTTAGAATGGCTCTTAAATTCCAAAAATCAAGCCCTTGCTTCTTTGTAGCCTCAGTTCTCTTGACTCTTTGCCCCATCACAGTGGGCCTTACAGGATTAGTCTCTCTATCTTCGACACCGGTTTGGTGTTCATCCTTTGAGGAGTTGTCTTCATCGCTACTTTCTTCGTGGATGATGCCCATCTCCTCTTCTACGTCATTTTGTATTGAAAATTTAGTGTCCATGCTTCCAAAATTGTATTATATAGATTTTCTGTATTTGTATAAAGTATTGGGGTTTTGGGGTTTTGGGGTTTTGGGGTTTTGGGGTTTTGGGGTTTTGGGG